TAAAAATAAATAAAGCAAAATCAGACATATGGAAAATATTGCGCAACAATAAGTGGAATAGTTTTGAATTTCTTTATATTATATAGCGTTTTATAGTGTTTGAACCGGTCTTTGAAAAACCTCGAATTCCTAGAAATCAATACAAGACTCGCAATACAACACCTTTTTTTAAATTCGTTTCTTCTTTACTTTTTAATTTGCTATCACTTTTGTTTTTTATAACCGTCCAGACGAAAACTTCTCGTCGTATTTCATCAAAATGTAGCTGGCATATAACAAAGCAAAACAATTTGGCCACAGTATTCATATTAAAACACATAAAACTGCTTTGAGCCCGCCATTGTTTGTTCCCTCTGTTTTTGCGGATCTCGACTCGGGTTGCAAAGGCGTGAAAATTGCTGTCTAACCTAATTTAATTCGCACTCCGAATGCCTTCAACAATACTAAACGTCCGCCATCTTGTTTAATTTAGAACACATGTTTTAATCAGCTTTAACAAAGGATTTCAAGATTAGTAAATATACAGAGCATTAATAAACATAGGTAAGTATAGATTTTTAACAGGAAACTATTTTGAACGATGTAGTCGATTTATTAATTAACTAGCTGTTCCTATGCGCCTTCATCCGCATGAAGTTATGAAGATTTTATTTTATTGTTTTCATTTGTCAAATTATACAAACCTTAGCAATATTTCTTTCTTGATGTTGGCAGCAACTTATGGTCTTTTTCCCACATTAGTGTTTTTATACAAAATATTTACCCCTAAGTTTAAAGGCGTTTAAATATATAGCCTAAAACGTGATGCAAGTACAGCTTCAGCTTTTTATTTAAAAAAGAATTATTCAAAAATATGCTGTAATTGCTGACATCTTAGGCAACAAAAAAGTGTGTGTTTACGCTTTATTATAAATGTATAGATATTATTATTTAAAAAAATGATTGATGTATAAAATTGATATTTGTTGGTTAAATATTTTGTTAATAAACATTAACATCAGCTATAAAATCGTCCCCTCTGCGGAGTGGTCACCATTTATTATACAGTTTGATATCATTATTTGAATATTTATGAATTTTTTCATTAGTCTGGTGTTTTAGCATAAATATTTATCGTTCCACGCATAATATTCTGATGCTTTTATTTATTTTCCGGTTAGTTTGAATACTTAGATAACGTTTATCCTTACCAAGTATTTCAATAGCCATCACGTCTGCACTTAAAAAAAAATATTATGAAATGTCATTTTTAATCTACACAAAGGGCGATAGGATAACCTTTTGTCAATCAAATTGACGTATCGAAGTGCGCGCAAACTAACGTCCAATTTGCGCGGGAATAACCGACTTAACCTTGTTTATTAGCGGTCGAGATGAAGTCGCAGAGTTTAGTTACTTCGTTAATCCCAGAGAGGATTAACAGGAACTTTTAGTTATCTACGCCCGTGTGTCTAAAATTTAACTACATATACTTGCGTCGGGTCTGTATTATGCATGTCTTACACCGAAGAACAGTTACTAAAAATTGACATTATAACGCTTGTGGAACTATTTATTTACGTGATATGCGACATCTGGCTAGATTAGAACACGTTGGTGTCGTGTCGAAATTGTCGTGTAAGAAATTTTAACCAACAACCGCCATGGTACACATTGAGATCGAATTATAACTAATGTGACACTTTTTAAAATAAGCTCATTAAACTCCCGATCGATAAGTATGTTGTCTAGACACGTTTAATTTGCTTTTAATGTACTTTACATTCAAGTTATAATTCCGTTACATTTTTTCGGTGGAGTTGGTGACTGGCTGGGTCATAGACCTGAGGTTTGTTCACTTCTACCACAAAGGCACATGCAATACTTGGATTGTTTCAATTATAAATATCATTGTTTTTGTGCTGTCTTCGTGTTGTAGTATAAAAAAATACGATTTCTTACGAACATTTTTCTCCATATATCTATATTCATGTTGGCCTGGTATTTAACGAAGCCCTAGAGCTTCTCATTTAGAGATAACTCAATCCCGTTCCCGGCGACTTAATCCATTCAATTTAGTCACACATCAAGCTTATAAACCTAAGCCAATTTCTCCAACGCAACAGATAACAAATCTAATTATTTTCTTCCTCTAAGCCGCCATTATGCAATAAGTAATATGGTATCATATTTTCTTTCTGTTATTAATTATATTCTATTATTAATAACAGCAATAATAGTGATTTAGTGAAAATGAAATAATATAAATCACGGATAGCATTAAAAACAATGGCAGTAAACATGTGAATGTTTATTTGACATTTTGCGAGTTTAAATTTGGAACGTTTTTGTTTTGTTTTTTCGTTTTATTTGAAGAACTGGAAACCAGTCTGAGTTAAATGATGTAATCGAAACGGTTTAGTCGACTTTATAAAGCGTTTAAAACCTTTTATAACACGTCCGTTCAGATGTCTTTACCCTACACGACAATGAAATAATTAATTAGGGCAACCTTTACACGACCCTCAAGTCTCTACAGCCAAAGAATAGACAGTAATAAAAAGAAGTACCTCATGTACCAAAGTTGTTTTAAAGTAAATTAACATATACAAAACACTTAAAAGGGTGACTTTCTAAAGATGTATACAATATTTATTTAAATTTATTCCTTAAGCTTATCTTTGTGCCTTATTCTGGTTAAAAACGAATCCTACATACGTTCCGAATCACTTAAAAAACATGTTTTTTTTCATTTTCTATCAATATAAATGCGAGGGACGGCGATATGTAGGTATTACGAGGATGCAAACTCATTTTAAATTTTCGTTCCAGAGGGTGACCTGGAGGCGCTGCTGGAGGAGGTGATCAAGGCGAGCAACCGCGGCGTGTCCGCCTCCAAGAACGTCACCAGCGGACCCAACTGGAGCTTCGGACAGTCGCTGTTCTTCTCCTCTACGGTCGTCACTACCATCGGTTAGTTTTTATAACATAGTAAATCTTGAACAGACATTTCTATGTGTGATATTGGTTAGTTGGCACAGAAGTCCAAAGCCAACAAATATCCTTCGAGAAAAATAAGGATTATTTTTTTAATTGTCCATTGTAGTTGTGTAGAATTATACATCCCTATTCTCTTATTTAATCTGTTTTAAAATTTGTTTAGCTTTAAGTATGATTCGATGGTTTCGAATGTGTGCTTAGATCATCGGTAAATTGGTATTTTATTATTTTTCATGTGAATACTTTTGTAGTAAAATTGTATAAAATCTAATTTTACGCTTCCCCAAGCACGGCAGTATATCTGTGTAAGCTATCGCTCCATTTTCTCCCTTGCCAATTTACTCAACCAGAACTAAACGATAAGCTACTGTGAATAGATTACGTCATAGATATTTTAATGCTTTTAAATTCAATTTTGTCTCTAATCTGTATTGCTTATTGATTACTGAACAAATTGCTAGTCAGTCCTTATACTTTAAAATTAAAGCGTTTTATTTTTCAAACGTTTTCTAAAATCATCGAACTACCGTCACACACTTCTCTCTTTGTCTATGGTAACTACCCATCTTCCATTAGTTCTGCTGCTTTCCTCTGCTATTACTACAGCATTCGTAACTGAGCCAATGTCAGCACGTCACAGCGGCTACAACCCTCGCGACATTAAAAAATAACCTCAAGTCCTTACTTATCCAGAAAGCTCTCTATATGTCGTCAAGGATTTTTTCTGCTACAATGATTTGCTTTTATATCTGTATAATTTTCAACATTATGACGTGTAATTATCTATTACCAATAAAATACTTGTAAAATTCACACATTTATAGTACAACAAGTAACAATGAAAGTTATTATTTGCAGGCTATGGTCACGTGACCCCGCTGTCGAAACCTGGCAAGCTGTTCTGCATGGTGTACGCGGTGCTCGGCATCCCGCTGACGCTGGTGCTGCTGTCGGCGCTGGTGGAGCGCCTGCTGCTGCCCGCCACCTCCTTGCTGCGTGCCCTCAACGCTGCTCTCGGCCACCTCTACCGTCCTTTCACCATACGACTTGTACATCTCATGATTATCGGTAAGTAGTCTCTTATATGTGCGAATTACTAGCTGTAGCTCGCGACTTCACCATCGTGGAATAAAAAAAAAACGTGTCTATGTGTTCTTCCAGACTATCATCTATGTATATGCCTAATTTCGTCGAGATCCGTTCAGCAGTTTAGGCTACCAACTCTCATCCGTCCATCTAAACTTTTGCATTTTTTATATTAGCAAGATTTATTCAAACCTTAATCTCATCATTAAAGAGTCATGCATCTGTTGTATTTAATGGTTATTTAAGAAGTTCCTTAGATTAGATTTCTCTTTCCAAAAATTGCATTAAGAGTTTAGTAATTAAGTGACTAGGTGTGGAAGATTCCTTTTTATATTGTATGGTGGCAAACGAACTAGCGGCCATCTGAATCGTAATTGCAGATGCGTTACCTCCTCTAATCGACGGAGGAGGAGATGCATCTTCATGCAATAGAACAAAAACTCCTTTTAAAGTCATTTAGTGGATTTGACAGTGGAGGAGACGCATTGGATGGGGAAATATCCTCTTTATGTGCATTGTCAAATCTACTAAATGACTTTTAAAGGGGTTTTTGTTCGATTTTTCTTATTTTTATTTTGTTCATTTTGACTACTTATAGCGTTAAACTTAACAGATAATTCCTCTCTAGTTAATAATGAAATTATATTTCAGTGACGACCTTCGTGGTGTTCTTCATCCTGGTGCCGGCCGCGATCTTCGCGAGCCTGGAGCCGGAGTGGGACTTCCTGGACTCGCTGTACTACTGCTTCATCTCTCTCACCACCATCGGCCTCGGCGACTACATCCCCGGCGACTCGCCCGACCAGCCCTACCGCCCCTTCTACAAGGTCGCTACCACACGTAAGTAACGTATATTTCACTTTCACTTATCTATACTAATATAATGTTATTTAAAAAAGTGTGCTCTTTCATCTAATGTAGGTTTTATCAGGAAATCTGATAGTAAGGAGGGTGAAACAAAAATAGTGGTTGATTTGCTCTGAAAACACGGAACAAAGAAAGGCAAAAAAGGGGAGTTACCTGTCACAAGTCACAAAATATAGTATAGTTACTCGCAAAATTTAGATACCCATGGCTACAATTTTTCACTCAAACTAGAACCAAACTTTTTCTTTTATATTATCAAAGTTGAGCAATGCCCCCCCCCCCACTCCGATCTTGCTACATTATTGAAGACCATAAGTTCCAGGAGAGATTTATATAGACATTGGAGTCTTGTACTACTAATCTCTCAGAAATTGTCAACAAACAGTATATTACGAATGTACTCACGAAATCCGATCTATTTCAGTATACCTGATCACCGGGCTGACGTTCCTCATGCTGACGCTGACAGTCTTCTACGACATCCCGCAACTGAACCTGAGCACGGTGTTCTCCTCGATGAAGCTGGACGAGGATCCGGAGAAGATGCGGCTGAGCGGCTCCGCGGGCCCAGGGTATGGTTTGGGAGGGCTGGTGATGCGTGACCACTACGACCAGCGCCGCTCCGTGGTCCACATCCGACCACACCTCGATGACAGCCCTAGCCCCGAGGACACCACGCCAGTGCACGCGAGGGACATCCGCCTACATTAAAAAAACACTTTTGTCTATGCTTTCAATAAACAAAATTAATCTTTATTTGAATCGATGTCTATGACAATGAATCATTATAAAATATTCCTTATTTTATTAGATAAGAAAATAATAATATCTTTATTAAATGTCATTTTTAAATCTATGTGTTTAGATGTATATAGACAAAGGAATTAACAATTCCTAATTAAAGCTAAGTTTTTAATTATTTGATACTGGCAATAAGACGTGAATTTTAATTTTTCGCTAGTAAAAATCAAATCCCGGAATTATTTTCTTACGGGCTATCTAAAGTTCTTTTAATTTTTTTAAAGCGTACTGCAACATCTAATTAAAAAAAATACTAGTTTGGATAAAAATACGTGAGATTTTTATTTTAGTGTTTTGGTAGCATATTACATTTGTTGCTTTAAAAAAATCTAATTAAGGGTTATTTGATAGTTTTACGACGAAAGCTTAACCTTAGTTTATTGTACTTATGTGTGTAATAGTGTTTACTTGTCTATGCTCCCGCGCTCCTGCGTAGTGACAATTTCCCGCGTAATTTTATAGATAGCATTTGATGTCACCTATTTCGGCCACAGACGGTTTTTAGTGTAATTTGCATTTAGTATATTTTGTTAGTTACGTAATAAATTGTAGCGCAAATGAAATTAATAACATATTTTGTTTCATATATCTATTTTAGAGTAAATGTTATAATTCAATAAATAAACCTACTTCAAAGTGAAGCTACCATAATGTATGCCATTGAAAGTAATTTTGGATGAAAACTTTATTAAACAAATTTCATAAAACGAGGGTATTTGAACATTATTTAATTTCGTATTGTAACTTGAACTTAGTTCGTGATAAGACTGAGAATAAAAAAGTTTTTTCATTCTAATTTTCAAATGTTGATTTTTCAACATTCAAGGAATTTAAATCAGTAAATGTTTAAAGTAAAAAGGTCAACAAAGTATACGCCTTTAAAAGAGAAAAGAATCTTAAATATATCAATGGCATATCATAATAAATGTTTATATTTTTCTCTTAAGTTATAAATCAAAAGTAGCCACATAATTTTATAGATCAAATATGTTTGAAATGATATCAGTAATTGAAATAAATTCTATATAAAAGATAGCAATTTAATTGATGTCTATACGAATATATTAAACAAAAAATCTATTAGGATAGATATCAGCTGTAGAAATAAAAAATATTAAGATTTTTGTTGCCATAGATTAACAAAATTATTCAGTAAAATAGATGTATTACTATGCACCAAATTTATGTTAATCAACATTTTCTAATACAAAAAAGTAACTTATGACAATATAGTACATCCTATAAAAAGTATCTGATATATTTTCTTAATTTGCTCCTATCAAAATATGCAAAACAGAATTATTTAAATGGATAACCTCAAACTGCTGAAAGCAGTATAACAATGGAAGCAAAGGTACTTGCAACTTTACAGGGATCATGAAAACTCACTATCATTTGCTTATTATGACCGTAGGTGATATAAATATAAAAGCCTATATTGTATCTAACTTTAGAGTTTTATCACGAAAATATTTACAAGTAAAAATTTATGTATGAAACTAAATAGATTGTAGTGAATAGCCAAGTTATAATATAAAACGCCAGAGTGGTAGAATATTAGACCCAAATTGAATGTGTATAAATAAAGGAATAAAAATGTATTATAGTGTTTTCATATTATTCCCCTTTGAAACCTAAAAGGCTACAAATCAGTACAATGTTGAAATTTTCATATTAATTCGACATCCAAGCCTATTTTTAACAGTTCATCTAGGCAACCGCAAGTTGTATATTCTGGACCATATTTTAAGTGTAATCTTAAGTGTTTTTGTTCCAATTTGATGGTTTTCTTTCAAACGGAGGCTTTTAGTTTTTTTTTATTAAGAAGGGGGGAAATCATGGCAAGGTATGAACCTCTGTAAACCAGATGAATTGTAGACGTGTTGCCGGTCTTTAAGAAATACTTAAAGAACCCTATTATGCCTACATAATATTGTTAAAAAACAGTGAGCTAAAAAAACCTTATGAAGCGAAATCTTCTATCTGTGGCCTTGTCAATAACATTTGACAGTTATGTATGTTCATTATCTGTACTATTTACTCTTTGACTCTTTGATCATTTATGATCTGTGATTGGTTTGATTGATTTATGGATTTGAAAAATGATGGCTTCCAGCCGGCTGTGTGTTTGAAAAATCTTGCTCGTTTTGTTAAAGATAAATCAAAGACAATAAATTTGTAAATACTGATTGTATCTTTGATTAATAAGATATAACAGCCTATTAATAAGGCACGTTAGTCACTTGTTACATAAAGATTTTGAACGAATTTAATAAATTAAGCATACGCGTTTTGAGTTAAGGTTAGTCATTTAACTTTTAAATTTTTTACGCCTGCATTCAGAATGGATTCACCCGTGTCTGCATTTGCTATGTATAAGAATACAAAACAGTCTACACCAAGACATGACAAGAAGAAAAAGAAACGTAAAGTTAATGATTCAAACTCGCAGAAAGCGCTATCTCGTGTTTTACACGATAATGGTAAAAATGTTGCTCAAAAAATTAAAAACAAACAGAAGAAGACAAAGGAGACAAAAAATATAATCAAGAAGAAAACGCACAAGAAGAAGAAGCTTAAATCAAATAAAAGCAAGATTGTTAAAAACGTAGATAATAGCTTAAAAAAATCAGGTGGTAATGATGAGATCGATGAAGAGGCGAGTGATAGTGAAGAAGTGCCCGCACTTATTCCAGCACCAGCATCAGCACCGAAGAACGGTGTTAACACATCTTCACATGAAGAAGATGTCTACTCACATTCCAGCTATGGTGATGAGGAAATTACTCCAGTGTTAACAGACAGCGCTGACGAAGCATTGAAGGTTTTCAAGTGGATGACCGCACCATACAGCTATATTGACTTCTTTCGATGTGTTTGGGAGCGAAAACCCTTACATATTGTTAGGAACAAACCTAAGTATTACAATGACTTGATATCTACACCTCTTATAGATAATATGCTACGTACTGAGAATATACAGTATACGAAAAATATTGATATCACATCATATGTTGATGGGAAAAGAGAAACACATAACCCTGTAGGAAGAGCTCTCCCCCACACTGTTTGGGACTTCTATCTACAAGGCTGCAGTATTCGACTGCTAAACCCACAAACATACATGTCAAAATTACATTTATTGAATGCTACATTGCAAGAACATTTTGTTTCTTTTGTTGGTGCTAATGCTTACCTAACTCCTCCGGACAGTCAGGGCTTTGCACCACATTATGATGACATTGAAGCATTCATATTGCAGGCAGAAGGAAAAAAACATTGGCGTATATACCGACCTCTTCATAAAACTGAATCGTTGCCAAGAGTGTCTTCGAAGAACTTTTCAGAAGAGGAAATAGGACACCCAGTAATGGAGGTAACATTACAAGCTGGAGACATGTTGTATTTCCCTCGGGGATTCATTCACCAAGGAGTTACAATTGATGGGGAGCATTCTCTCCATGTCACCATTAGCATGTATCAGAAACAATCATGGGCGGATTTGTTTGAAAGAATGCTCCCAGCTGCATTAGAAGTTGCAATCAATGAAGAGTCAGTTTTCCGTCAAGGCCTGCCATTTGATATTTATGAAAATTTTGGCCTAGTATACTCTGATGTGACAACACCAAGAAGAGTAGAAATGGAGGAATATATGAAGAACCTTTTCCATAAAGTAAAGAGTTACTTATCTATGGATGGAGCTGTTGATCAAATATGCAAAAGATTCCAACATGATGCTCTACCTCCAGTTCTGAGTGATGCGGAGAAAGCATGCACTGTTTATGCCGACACAGATGTGATGGCTGAGAATGGAAAAGTCATAAATAGAGTTGAAATGAATCTTGACACGAAAGTGAGATTACTAAGAAAGAATATATTACGTATGGTATCTGAAGATACTATAAAAATATATTATTATACCGAAAACTCATTAGAGTATCATGGACATGAACTATCGTTCTTGGAAATTGATGAGGAATTGGCTCCAGCGGTGGAGACTTTAATTACAACATACCCAGAGTATGTTTCTATTGAAAATCTTGATGTGCCAAATGAATCTGATAAAATGCAAATTGTTGATGCATTATGGGCAAGGGGATTATTAATGACTGAATATCCTTTAGATGTTGTTTTTGATTAAATTACATTAGGCAATAATTTTATATAGTCTAACCAGTCATAATCAGCACATCTTAGGTGAAGCACAAATGATAATCCAAAGGTTTCCAGCTGTGAAATAAGCCTTTGTGTAAAACTTATCTAGTGGTATAAGCAAATAGAATTGTGTGTCGTTTATCTCTAAAAATCTTTTGTGCTTGTAAGTTTTTGAAATACATTATATAGTCTGTATGGATCCTTTGAATGTAATGCCTCCGACATACATTTTCAATTATTAAAATAAGTACCTAAAGATTTCTGAAGATTATACTTTGTGTGAAAAATCATTTCTACTCTTCCTCTTCTTATTTCTTCTGTAATCAGTGTTAGGATTGTAATAAATAATTACATGAAATTATTTTTTTCCCTTTTCTTGTTAGTGTATCTGTAGAGATACATCAATCATTTTTCTTTATTTTTTTATCTAAACACCTTGGGTCACCAAGGTTAAGTGCTATGAATATTATTTTGATATTCGAAAAAATAAAATTCTGCCAAGTTAAGGATTAAATACATTTCCCACTTTTCATTCTTTATGTACAGTCCAAGGATTGTTTATAAGGATATCTGTATTAGCTATAAGAAAGATTTAACTAAAATGTAATATCCATTTAACATTTGAAGGGAAAATAAAACAAGTATTCTTTTTATAAAGTACAAATTTATTATAAAAAATGTATGAGTAATTGAGCATCTCATCCATTGATTTATTTTAGCAGCTGTTTATAGTTTTGTTCCGTAATTTAAAGGATTTTGTTCTATATAGGATTGTTGAAGACTTTATTACTTTTATGGCAAGAAATATTGAGAAAAATCCTCTTAAAAACTGCTTTATAATACAATTGAAGCTATTGCTTATACATTATCTATAAATATTTTATTGCTTATCGAGATTTAAGTATAGGCATTAAATAAGATATAATCACTTAACATTTGATTAACTTATATTAACCATTATTTATCAAATGGAAAAGAAAATAGTAAATTGCAAAGTAATTACAAAAGGCACACTTAGGACTTGCAGCATTATTTTCAAACGGCAACTTCTTGAGCATGTTCTTCATCTTCTATTGCAGATTTGGAGGTACATTTACATCGTTTCTTTACTTCATTATTAAAACCTTCCCTATTTCTGGCTATCTCAATGGCATAGAACTGAACTCTTGGTACTAAAATTGTATTTTCTTCAGAATTATCACCATAAGTGTCCGCGCGGAGTAATGTACCAAAGCTATAGTCTTCAACAATGTTTTTAAATTTCTCACAGAACATACGCCAGCGAGCTTTGTTTACATTGTTTTTTAGTACATTTTCATTTATGTATTTCACATCCATGTCAGGGAAGTCCTGTCTAAAGTGATTGTAGATGAGGTCATCATGTTGTGTCAGCCGTAGCCATCTTGTGTCTACAGAACATATAACCTGTAAGTTATGATTTAATATCTTGATTACAGAGATTTCCTAATTTGTGATATATGACAAACTTACTAAAGTTAACAGTCCTCTACCTAACTTAGTTTTGTCCTAAGAATTATTTTATATACTGCCAATAGTGATGAGATGCATTATTTAAGAATCAAGAAATAAATTACACACAAAAGAAGATTCGAAACCAATTATTACTTTACAGTAAATAAAAAACAAAATAGATACATGCGATTATCATAAAAAAATACTTACGTTAAAATATACATCGTTATGTTCCATAGCTTTAGCTGCCCATAATTGTTCCAAAGTTGCATCGTTGTCGAATTCTTCCGCAGGCCTTGATAAAACCTCCTGCAAATACAAAGTATGCACAATAACGGACGAATTTAATTAAGAACCTTAATTATAAAAGAAGTATCACCGACCATAGTTACTCAAAGGATATCTGATTTTTAAACAAGAAAACTATTTTTTATAAGAACAGAAATATCTAAAAAGTTATGTAATTAAGACTTAAAGTAACTTTCCGTATCAATTAAAAATTAGATCAGGTTCAGACTCGGATTTTTCTAGCTACTCTCATATAACCTATGATTTTGGATTTACTTTATGACAGATTCGGTTTTTTTGCTCGGTATGTCAGGTTTGCACAGATTCCAAAATGTTTGTAAGCTCAATTTGGTACACTTATCTATGGATATCACTGTCTATGGCACCGACATGTTAAGGTTATCGTGCATTTATCAGTCAGCTCTTTATCCTATTCCTTCCACTTAGAATTGTACAAATTGTTATGTGTTATCTTATTTATGCTTTAATTTGTGGATCAGTTCCCCGCTGCTGATGAAGGAAAACAAAGATATAACTGTATTATCAATGCCCTATTCGTCTCGCTTGCATGTATAAATACCGCATGGACCTCGACACGGTCGGAGGCGGGCGGTCTTGCCGTACCAGATGGGCGATGAACTTATAATTGCGCGATAACCTTAACTTTTAAACACATTAACACATACATAGGTAGAATAATAAAAAAAGTCGAAAATATGGTTTTTAATCTAAAAGCGTACTTCGCGCTAAGCGATAGCTGTTCAGGTCCTTCACAAAGTATGTGATCCGTCCGTTAATAATCACCTGAGTACAATTTAGGCCTATACTTGAAAAGAGATATAATGTAGGTCCGCTTATCTAATATTATGTTACCTATGAAGTGTTTAGTATTGGACAAAATCATGTCAATAATTAGGGCGATTCAGATCATACTCTTGAATTCGAATAGCGACTAGAAACAGGAACAAATTATGATTAGATTAGATTTTTTTTTAATTCTTTCACTTTTTCCTACATTAGGCCGGTTAGTAACAAGCATTTGTATGAAACAAAATATACGTTTTTACTTATACTATGAAGTTTTGAAAATTGTCTTTCTAATGCTTTTCTAATACCGTTAAAATTAAAACGAACGCAACATTTTTAACATGCGAAAACGAGAGAGTGATATATGAAAATGTAATGTTGGAAAGGGAGATAATTTTCTTAGAAAAATTCGTTTCGGCATCGCTTCATACTGAATGTTCATTGGATAAGAGAAAAAGAGGGTGGCGCATGCGCGTTATGCCGACGCCATCTCTAAACTACTGTGCATAATACTTGTTGAAAGATTTCTTTTATCTAATCCAAACTTAGTTTTATTATTTTGTTGTTAAAAGTGTTAATTATGGAATTGTTTTACAATCAATGAGTTTAAGTGTTTGTTAGTTGTGAATGACGTTAGTGGACTGAGCTCTCCATCTACGGTTGTCGGAATCTTGCGGAAGTTTCTTAGAGCAACGCATATTTTTTTACGGTTGCTTCCCCGCAATCGCAACGGATACGCAGATATTGCAGGAAGGTTTAGCGGCTAAATTGTTACTGGTAACTGTTCACAGCTAAATCACAGCATGAAATCTGCTTAGATAATAGAAAGTGGCAGTAAAGGCGGGTAATCGCGTTTGCATTCGTACCCGCGTACGCCTATACATAGACACAGGTTGTGTACTTGTGTTATGTATGAATTATTGTTTTGGGTCAAAGACATCGCCAAGTGTGAATGTGCTATAATAATAGTGTAGTAAATGCCTCGCTTTTGTGTTTCAGTGTGAACGTCTGAAAAAAGCGTCAAGTGTTGTCGTCGTTTGATATGAATTCTGCTTTAAAGCCGGTGCTGCCCCAGCCGGGGGTCCCGCAGCCGGGCGGTCAGGCGAGCCCTGCGAAGGCCAACGTGGCCAGCGCCAACCACGCCGTCGCTCTCCCACAAGGTGCTCAAAACTCTCTTCACCACGGATCAAATAATCTTGTCGGACAAAATCTCACGCATCACGTGAATGCTCCACCGGTTCCGCCTCACGCTGTACCTTCCATGGCGCCGGTGACGGCGAATATGGCACAGATGGCTCAAAATATGAGTCACCATGGAAACCTATCACACGTCACGCAAAACTCTGTCCCGCCACCGAGTCCCAGCAAACCTGTGTCTACCAGTGCACCACTAAGCTTAGTACAGGAGAAGGCAAATACCTCTCAGCCTCTTGCTTTAACAAGAACACCAGAAAAAAAGGAACCAGATTCCAGCAGCCATGCAAATGGCACAATAGATTCTTTAAAAGCAGGAACAAATGCACCAACAACACTAAAGGCACAAAATCCTGAATCTAACAAAGATAAACAAGATATCGCTAAGACATCACCAAGTACACCAAAGCCGCCTGAAAAATCACCTGAAAAACCATCAAGTACTCAGTGTACACCTCAAAAGGACAACCCAAACCTGCTTAATCAAACCGACAGTCCTGCTCAACCAAAAGTTGCTACTGCCAATGAAGCACCAGAGAAATCTCCTACTAAACCAACAGAGCTCAAACCAACAACACCAGCAGATGTTGCACCCACACAAAGTGACAACAAACCAGTACTAGAAACAGCCAATAGCAGCCAAGAGAAAGTGTCTCCTACACCTCAGGAACCAGAATCTGTTCCGGACAGCCCAAAACCAGATTCTCCATCGAAACCAGAAGAAAAGAAAGAGGAACCAAGTGAAAAACCTCCACAAGCAGAAGAGAATAAAGATGTCAAAGACACATCAGAACCTCCAAAAGAAGATGAGACAGACAAAGTTAAACCAGAGGAGAAGGTAGAAGAGAAGAAAGTTGAAGCTAAAAGCACAAAGCCTGAAGTAAAAGCAACTCCGAAGTCAACAATGAAGTTAGCAACAGTCACTCCTCCATTGAGGAAGCGAAGACAACTTTCTCCAACTAAAACTGATGGAGTCACACCTGCCAAGAAGTTATCAGATGTCGAGACCACACCTGATACGAGAATCAAGAGGAATAGAACCAAGGTGAGGTTTTTAATTGCATTTTTTTTTTATTATGTGATATTCTGTATTACAAATATACAGCAAATAGACACTGCATTGTTTTGGCGGGAAATCGATCCAGGCGCCGTTCTTACAAGAATGTGTTTAATTTTATATTTTAATTATTTACTCAAACATCTAATAAAAAAGTTGCAAATTACAAATACAAACTTATTCTATTCATAGAATTAAGTAGTACACTTAAAAGAATTAACTCGGGACAGAAATAAAATAATCAATGCTTATTTATCTAAATGCTAAGAAAATCAATGAAGTCATTGTTTACAAGAGTAAATTGTGTATGTATGAATATTATAGTTATATTTTTAGTACAGTATTATCAGTAACTAGCTGTTCCCGTGCAACTTCATCCACATAAATTTTAATTTTATTGTTTACATGTGTCAAATTGTCAATTGCAAATGTTAAAATGACATGACATGATGACAAAGCACGGCAACCTTGCTTCCTTGATGTTGGCAGCAACTTATGGTCTCTCCCACATTAGGGCATTTATCCAAAACATTTACTCCCTAAGTTTAATGGCGTGAAAATATATAGCCTAAAGTGTGACGCAAGTGTTGGACTTTTTAAAAAAATATGCTGTAATTACATTTTGGGCAACAAAGAAGTGTGTGTTTACACTTTATTATAATAGTATTGATAATAATTATTAATGTGGTTCTTCAATTTTTAGTCTTGTTTACTTTTATTATTAAATGAGAGGTATAAAAGCAAGTATGCTTAAATCAAATTTTAAATTTTTCAGGCATACAAAATTGTTGACATCAACAATTTGGTAGGCATAGTTTAGAAAAAAATTATCATCCTTTATATCTCGGATAGATTTTATTACATTAATTATACATAGCATTTTATTTGCATTTCATATTTTGTATTTATGTGTTTGTTCTAATTCCAGGTTCAACTGTACCAATCCCCAACACCAGAGATTGCAATGGCCACGAAACTCTCAGCATCAGCCGGCCGCTCTACGCCCACTAAGCCTAATGATGATAAGCTTATTGTATTTTACAAGTAAGTTTGAATTTACTATTTTTTATACAAGAATATTGCTGTTCATGTTAAAATGACTTGTAAATGAGCTGTCAGGGTTACACAAAAAACTTGACCTTAGAATCTAAATATGTTTTTGTTTTCTACTTACTACTTTACTAATGTTTTTAATGCGAAAGTTTAGATGGATGGATGTTTGTTAGAGTTTGTAGCTTAAACGGATGAACTGGTCCAGATGTAATTTGGCGCAGACGTTGAGGATAGTCTGGAAGAACACATATGCTACTCACTTTTGTTTTTTTTAATTCTACGCACACGAAGTCGCGAGCGACAGCTAGCTGTTCATAACCTAAAAATATGAAATCAACCTTACTAGAAATCGAAAAAGATGCATGTTTTTTAGAGTTTGTAGCCTAAATGCCTAAAGGCACAGATGTAGAGTACAGATGTAGTCTGCAAGCACACATAGGTTGCTTACTTTAATTTTTTTTGTTATCTCACGCAGATACAGGAAGCTAGTCTCAAATCATTCTTAGGGGAAGTTAATGTATTAGTAAATTATCATGATAAGGTAAATGGGGGTAGGTTAAATTCCTCCAACACATCAGTTATATGTAATGGTACCTCCAGGAATGAGTACCTTGCGGTACGTAATGCGGAGGGTGGGTTCTACGTGTGCCAAGCTGTGCAGAACGTGTACCGCACCACGCGGAAGATCAAGATACGCTGGCTCTCGCAGGATAAGACAGATCCTTCCGGAGAGACGTACAAGCCTGACTTCTATGACGTCACAGGTACCTATTTAATTTTTTATATTAAATGATAAAGTTTACAGTTGATGACTCCACTAATGAGGACACAGTCTTTAAATTAAAAGACTAAATAATTGAAAATTGATTAAAATGAGATATTATAATGAATCTAACTGAATAATTTAATTTTTTAAATCAATTTAAGTACTTTAGAGAATCTATCTTACTAACATTGTATGGGTTACTATATTTTTAAATCGCGCGAATAAAGTCGCGCGCGACAGCGAGCGGAAAAAAATAACTTAGACAAGCAGTATGTATATACAATTTCTCATTCCAAATGAATTCAATTATAATATTCAACTGAAAAGAATAATTTGATCTAATATTCGAGTTTATTTAAATCAATAGTATATAGAAACTTCTTTACTTGTACAAATATTGTTTTTAATTGTAAAGTTTGTCCTTTTTGTGTTATTTGCAGACATGGAATGTGTACTTACAACACTGTCGTTATCCCGAGCCCCGGGGGGTGGCGGAGCGCAGGTAAATTACACTAACTGATCATTGTTCGAAATTGCATATTTCAAAATCACAGATTTTTAATAAAAACCTTAACTCCGTTTTTTATAAAATTCCCATAAAAAGTAGTATAAAAACATGTTCTATTGTGCAGTCAAGACTCTTTGCGGTGTTCTTATAGAATACTTGCCTTGTTTCTTGTAGTAAGACACTATCTACCTTACAAATAACCAATTAGAAAGCATTCCAACCTTTTTTATACAGACACAGTCAAAAGCTTCCTATTGGTTTTTATTACACGACGTCTTAATGCGTATTTTAACAAAGATATTTTAAAATGAAAGACCGCCAAATTCCCTGATTGTACATATACAAATACATGATTTTATCACTATAATGTAAAATCGATTTAAATGTCTTATTTTTTTGTAGTTATTAAAGGCTACGGAGGAGGCGAGGGCGAAGTCCATCCTGGAGCGCGCCATCAAAGCTGAACAGAGTGGGGCCAACAATCTGGAACTGACAGAAGAACACCCAGATGGATGTAAGTACTATGAGCTGAGAATATTAACGCTAAGTCTAGCATCTAGGTCTAGTCACGATCACATAAGACAGGAAGTCGAATCAATTAGGGAAATCACCGCTTTAAACTTTTACTAGCTTTTACTAGCAAATTTACCTGAACATCAAATGGTTAGAATTAAAAAAAAAAGACTTTGCAAATAGCAAATGTGATCTTCGTTTTTTCATATTATAAGGTGACAATCGAGATAACGGCCACATAAATTCGCCGAGAAAGCGAAACGACCGCTGCCATAATCATCCGCTATTGCAGATGTGTTGCCTACCCTTAATTAACAGAGGAAACGCACATAAACAGGATATTTCCCCTTCCCATGCGATTCCTCCACCGTCACATACACTATTCCTTCCTTTTAAGATAAGGGTGTGCAGGAAAGGGGACTAAAATTAGGCTTAATGCACCACACTCACGAGAAGAAAGGCGGAATTGCTCTCACTTCACGTCTATCTTGTGTGTAGTCGTGGTATTCCGTGTAGCGAGCCCTACATTACACGTAAAGGGGGCTCTACTACTGTTGAGATTGTTGTATTGTAGTTGTGTAGTTGTGTAGTCGTACAGGCGGGCAGTTGTGTTCGCAGTGGACCTGTCGCTGTACACGGACGAGTCGCAGTTGGAGAAGGCGCGCAAGCGGCGCAGCTCCAAGTCCTCGCGCGGCCTCACCGACACCGACACCGCGGTATCTATACATCATACAAGTATTTTTATTTTAGGAAAATGCGTAAAAATAACTTGGTGTTTTTTAATGATAAATGTCCCTCCCCCCTCCTGCTAATGAAGATTAAAAAAATCTCTAACAACTTTTTGGACAATAGATGAATATCTTACTTAATACTACTTAAAATATTTTTTGTACTAAATAAGGATTCCTTTCCGATAGAATCTTTTAAAATACACAAGCAAGTAAACGTGGTAAAGCGTAACTTAACGTAACTTAACAAATAAAAAAAGCAATTTACATTCTTCTGTTTTTGTTGTAATTTTTTTCTTTTTTTAACATTTTTTCATACATATACCAGACTAGAAACTACCAGCTGTGATGGGAGTAGTTCCCCCCCCCCCAGTAATCGAAAGGTGTAAATTAAAAAACTTTGAACAATGTCCTAATAATAGTAGTTTCCCTAGACTTAATCTATATCAACTGGCGACACATTTGTCGAATTAAACGAGTTTAGATTTTTTTTAAATAAATTTATTGTTACAGGAAGAAGAAACGCCAATAAAGAAATCACGAACGACACCGAAGCGTAGCATGAAGAAATCGAAGCGTACAAGTGGTAAGCGGAAAGCGAGTAGCTCTCCCGCTACCGCTGCTGCCCCCGTCCCCGCCCCCGCCCCCGCCGTCGCCGTCGCCGCTAGCAAGGTAGGCATTGTGCGACGGATATATAGACATGTACGTATCAGCTATCATCCGCCATTTTACATGTGTGTTGCTCCCTCCCGCTCACACACTGCATGCTGGAGCGGGACGGATGTTTAACTCCATTTGGGTTTCAAAAATACCTTTAAATTGTATTGCCAGTATTATTTTCATATGCGAAAACGGAAAAAAACAAAAAAAATATATCAAATTGTTTTTTTTAATGAACTTATCTACAACAAATACATATACATTAGCTTTGATTTAATTAATATTCATTTATTCAATTATAAATAAAAAAATGTTGGAAAAAACAAAAAAAAATTGGAAAAGGTATCGTAAAAATGAATACCCAAATGGAGGAATGCTGTGAATGATTGAATGAATTTATTTGAATCTAGTTAGATGATGTTTGTTGATTTAGATACAAGGATCAGAGTAAATGCAGTTATTTCAGTTTGCATGTTCGGTTCTTTGGTTAAACAGTTCCAGTGAAACCCAAATCTCCTTAATTTGGGTTAAGGTATTAATTTCTTTATTTTCCATCAATCATGTCATTCCATTACTAACGCAAAAAATTAATGACATGGAATACTACAAAAATTATAACAAAAAAAAATTAAATCTGCAAAAATTAGAAATTTTGTGACAAAAAAGTATTTCAGTAATTTTTTTTCATATTATCATCTGATTACTATATTTTTGACAAAAATAGATTTTTACAAGATAAAAAAACATAGTCTGTATGAATGAAAGATTTAAATTACGCTTTTATAAAATTCTATCTTCAATTCTTCAAATAATTCTCTTAGAGAAAATACTTCTATAGTACAATTAGAAAAATTAATCACCTCATAATCATTGCTTGCTTTTGTGTTTTATTGACTTTTGTTTTTTTTGGCCAGTTCTCTTTTATTTTTTTGTAATTTCTATTAAAAAATATTTTATTCTGCATGAAATTAAATGCAATTGTAATAAAGAAGAATTTTAAATGTTCACAAAAATCAGTACATCAGTCAAATTATCTTATTTTTAAATAAAAATGTGTATATACAAGTTTTTTTTCATATTAAGAGAAACTTGACACATTGAACAATGTCTTCTTTATTACAAAATACATTTTTATTTTAACGTAGATATAACTATATGGAGTGTTTCATTAAAGTTTATTTAAACGTAAGACGATTTTTGAAATCCCTTTTGTAACATAAAATATACCAGAATTAAGAGGAAATTCAAGTAAAATTAACACAAAATATGTTGAAAAAAATAGTAATTTATGTTTATCTAAAACCCATTATAAGATTATTTACTAGCATTTTTAAAATGTCACACAATAGTAAAATATACTAAAAACTAGTAATATATAACATTAGAAAATAGGTTGTGTTTCTCTTTATATAAATGACAACTCTGCAGAAATCTTACTAATATTATAAATGCGAAAGTTTAGATGGATGGATGTTTGTTAGAGTTTGTAGCCCAAAGGGCTGAATGGATTTCGGTGAAATTTGGCATAGATGTAGAGTATTGTCCGAAAGAACACGTAGGCTACTTAGTTTTTTTTAAATTCCACGCGGACGTAGTCGCGGGCGAAAGCTAGTCTACGATAAAAAAGGCCTCCAGACAACTTCTTACTAAACTTACTTTTATGCTCAGAACACTCCATCTAGGTATAAAATCTATGATTGAAATAAACTCCAGTAATTATATAATAAGAAATTCTTAAAATAGTAATCTTTAAAAAAATAATTAAAAATGTAACTTATGTATGTAATTTGTTCTCTTATATAAATACTGGACTAAATGTGGAGTGGTATAAAATGTGGTAATGCAATGAAAATGGAAATTTCTCTAAATTATTATATATGATATTTCAATGTGAACACAATTAACAAACTATTAAATTAATTTTAATCTTTTAATTCGCTTAATCTTAAACTTAACTGTTACTTAACTTATAGTTATTAAAATCATTCGAATTTATCTGTATTCAATAAAATTTGTCTAAAAAGAAATCTTCATTTTCACTGTTACAGATATTATTTCATTGTTACGGCCGAATACTGAATTTACAACGTCTTATATTCCAAAATCTATGGTCGGCTGTAAAATTGTAAGCGACGCTTACGCAGTGAAGTGTTCAATGTTCGTTTCAGTATTCTGCCGTTCTTCCAGTTCACCTTTTATTGTTGTAATGTTTACGCCAAAAAATCAACTATAAACATTACACAAACAGGAGAGAACATGTGAAATGATTGTAAAACATTAAAACAATAAAAGTGAACTGATAATAAAAGTCATAGACAATTTATGTAAATATTGTATATGGCAACATGAGTGTGTACTGACCATAGACAGCGACTGCGGTGACGGAGAAGACGAAGGCAAAAGTGACGCCGGCGAAGCGCACACCCGTCAAGCCAGTCAAACCTGACACGCCAGTCACGCCCGCGCGCAAACCACGGAGGACTGGCAAAGGTAAATAACTTGTATAGGAGAAATCAAACTGGCTCGGAACATAGTAATGCGCGGTTCACACTTACCTATTACAGTTGGTAGCGCTGAATAACTGGACTGTGATCAACTGGCATAATGTGAACTCTATGAGCGCCAGTAAGTCTATACAATCAACTGGTTTTCGCAACTGTCAAACCATACTGGCCGAGTGTGAACCGGGCATAATAGTCGATGCGCATTTTAAGTATTAACGCCGCTATCTCTCTTACCAACGAGGCGATCGAACACTTTAGCAGTCACGTGATATTGCTTAAGAAATAACGCAGAATTAAGTGTTTTCATTTACTTAAATTTTATTTTTTTAAAAGTCAGTCAGTCAGTAGACTGGAAATATAAATACAAACATAATTTAATATGAATTTGTTGCATTACATACCCCTATTAATAAAAATGTAAGGATGGTACCCTAAAACCTTAGTTTCAAATGCAATTTTAGCTTAGTAAAGTGACTTTTATCCCATTTCTTGACAAACATGGCAAACGCACTGCCTATTTAAGAACATGTTTTAAGAAAACAGTGTTCTGTTATATTTTTTGAGTTAATATAGTTATTTTTTGTTAACAGATAGCAAACCATCTCCGATAGTGCCCACTCCGTCTACGTCGACAGGCAAGACCACACGTACGCCGAGAAAGCCGCCCGCAAAGAAATAATATTAAATATAACATGTGAGTGCATTGTGAACTGACACCCGAGTGGCATCAATATACTATATATTTATTTGACTTTACTCGCCATTGTTTCTAATTTTTATCAATAAACACGTACAAGTAAGGGTTCATAGTATGTACAGAAAACGAATGCAGAAAACTTTTTATATTTGGCAGAATTTGTCAATTTTTTCTTTTTTTTTTACTGTGAACTCTTATTTTTACATCAAAGTACACTTAGGCCATATTTTGCACAATTTTCAAGAAATATATCATTGTATTGTATAAGGTTTTGCGATTTACCTCACAGCAATAATTGAATCGGTGAGTTCTTGTGTTCAATAAAGAAATAGATTCAAGTAAAACTGTTAACGAGAATTGAGTAGTCTCTAACTGTTTCATATTTTTTATTAATAGCAGGTTTTCTTGTAAATATTTGAACCACAAAACGTTAGCATGTTTATTTCACTGTTTTAAAAGGAGTAACTCTATTTATTAACTTTTGGGCTTGGGATATTCAGTTTTTAGATTTTGGGATAAAATATACAAATTTTGATATAATAAAATTATATATGTTTAAAATGTTAAGCAAATATTTTATTTATGTAAATAACTTGCTTATGTAATTGAGGAAAAAAACAAATTAAGCAATATATTTGTAACAATGTTACAATAACAAATAAATAGGGTTATTCCTAAATAGTGAGTCTAATGGTTATATATTATATATTATGAGGTATTTTTGACCTCGAAATAGTTTTAAGTTAAGTATAAGATTTAGTAAGTAAACGAAATCTAATTTTTTTTCTACAATATTCAATTTATTGTATATTAGTACAAAAGTGGTATCTTACTATAGTTGAAATGACTTAAAAAAATTGTCTTTTGTATGTGAATATTTGTCGAGTGGGATTTAATTAACTTTCTTAAATGTAGTGATTTTCTGAGATATTTCCTCATATCTGGACCAAAAGGCGGAATGTTAAAAATTTAATCTCTCGATATATGTGTTTCAATTGTGAATCATGTTTTTTTTTCAAATTTTCCACTACATCTGCTGTATGGAATAGATTACACATAAAATAACAAATTTTATTAACAAGTTATCAGAATGCCTAGTCCAATATATTCAATTTTAAAGTAATAAAGGTCGAACTTGTCCGATCAAAAATTAGGTAAATCGAAACTTATAAGTAACTGACAAAAATAATTGTTAAAATCAACAAAAGGTCGATGTTAAAATGTATTGGTTTTATTTGATTTTGTGATTTTTCAGCACAATGTAGTTATTGTAATCGCCTCTGGAAGGCAATCAGAAGGTAAAACGCAATTTTCGACACTGCCATAATACGTAATTTTTTACACTTACGTATAAAGGAGTTATAAAGATCATATAAAGATCAATATTTTAGAAAATTATGCACCGATTTGTGGGCAAGAAAAACAATTTTGCCCTCTAGTACAGTTATATTCAAATATCTTATCGGCTCGAACTTTCCATGAATATGGTGACCAAGCTGCCAAGATATTTGACAAGAACTATAACTGGTCGGACATAAAGGAACTAGGTAATGTTGAATCAAATATAAGTTAGGCTCAGTTGAGCCTTTTAATTGTATATTTCAACTTAAATCGAAATCGATAATTTTATCGGGTTTATTGACATTTTTATAAGTTTCTCTACATTGTGACAAACTTTTTTTTGTTATGTTTTTTTTACATTACGAGTGGGCATGTGCCTCAATGTATGGATGTGTGTTGTAGCGGTTTTAAATACCTAAGGTAATATTAATTAGGTATACATTTAAAGTGTTATAAGTATAGAGTAAATTATTTGTGTGTGTTTCTGTTTCGCGGCGAGGGTGAACGCCGCGTGCTCGTACAATACATGTAAAACATAGTTAAGCGTTTTATACAAAATATCATTCGAGAGTACTATTGTAACAGAAAGTCCACAAATTTATATGCAATTCAAAATTAAATATAAATAATTTAAGACATATCGAGTGTTTTTATTGTGTTAAATTTGAAAACCCTTCTACTAATTTCCACGGAGATCCTAGAACACTTCTCTATTGCACTAAAGGTTGGCCACCGAGAGGGTTTTAGTATAACCACCCATCACAGTATCTACCCAGAAGGCAGGTTATCTTTTAAAGATTTTCCCCCCATAAAAAAAATAAAATTCTGAGATTGCGATGGCTGAACCAAAAACATCACTTTGTAAAACTCGGGTGAAATTTCACCATACAGTGCCGTGTAACTTTTATCTAGAAACCCAAATTGAAATAAGACTATGTTTTCTACTACATAAATTCTAAGGAAAATTAAGTTCTTACACGATGTAGTTGGCTAAATGTTATCACAGATATACAATACTACACTAGTATTAATGATATTGTCAATTATGAACAAATAGCTTTCGTCCGAGAGGAATTAAAAAAGTAAGTAGCGTATATGTTCTTCCACTCATCTTCCTCCGTTTCCTAGTCCCGTAGTGTCGCCGCGACAGATTTTTCCCTTCACATATCATACGTCATCTCAGTCAGCGCTTTCTTCTTGATCATGTCACCTTTCACGCAATCAATCTCTTTCTAGGTCTACTCTTTCAGTCAGAACTAATATTCGATTCCAGACTATCATCTACATCTGTGCCAACATCCGTTGAGTAGTTTAAACTACAAACTCCAACATCTATCCATTTAAATTAGTAACATACTGGTATAGTAGTGATTTATAGGTTACGTTCATAGGCTTTTTTTAATGCTATAAGGTGGCAAACGAACAAGCGGTCACCTGGATCCGCCGATATGCCGAAGCGACCGCTGCCAATAATGCACATAAAGAGGATATTTCCCTTTCCCATGCGGCTCCTCCGCTGTCAAATTCACGTTTCCTTTCCATCATCTCATAAAAAAGAGAAAGGAAAAGCAACTAAAACCGGGGTTACTAGTATAGTATTTAATTATTTGGGTAGACAACCAGACAAGCATACCTATGCTTGCAGATGACACCTCAGCAGCGAGATTTTCAATGTCAATGTAAGATATCTTGAGAAACCAGACTATAGTTCCATTTAGACAAAACGCAGCAGTCATTTTTTATCACATGAAATTAATCTTTATTTGGTGGAATAGATTTCACCTTTACAAGTTATAAACTGTGGTTTCTCTGAATTTCAAAGATTAACAATGAGAATAGAGAGCTACTTGTAATGGCAATTGTACACTACGTGTACAAAGAATTCAGTGTTATAAAAGTTTTTTTTATGTGGAAATATAAGGAAATTAAAAAACAAATTTGAGTTTTACTTTTTTATTAATCTTAACCCTATGTTTACGAGGCCTCCATGGCGGTAGCGGTCTCCTCGGTGTATTTGCCCTTGTCCTTTCCGAGGGCAGCCAGGCGGCCCTTAGCCCTGCGGTCTAGGATTGCCTTACGGTCCTTGTTCATCTTTAGTTTGACAATTACACACTGAAATGACAAAATTTTGTTAGTAGCTGCTTTGGAACTTCATGATTGATTATGTTGTTTACAAAAATCAGAGCCATGGAAGTGTCTCCGCAGTAGTCCCATCTCATGCCAAACTCGAGCATGCCCAAGTGAGACAGGATGGGTTCTAAGTTACAAGTTATCATCATTTTAAATGCAAATTGTTTCTACAACCATTTAAAAAAAATTATATTTAAACAGTTTGATCTGTAGTAATAAACAAAAAATCCAAAAACTTAATATTTTTGGAATGTAGCTAAGCTTTAGTTTTTAAGTTATCAATAATTATAACATAAACAAGTAACTAACTACAAAAATGTGTAAAAAACAGCATATTTACTTTTGAGGGGTGGATTCCGACATATGCACTGGCACCATTAGCCTTTTCACGCTGAATCCTTTCAATGTACACTACAAACTTCTTACGGTACACCTGCACCACTTTGCCCACTTGCTGGCCTTTGTAGTGACCTCGGACAACCTGAAATTAATTTCAGAATTACAATGTGAAAACAAATATCAGAGAAAGTATTAGCTAGCTAGTAATTCTTCCTTTGATATAAATAATTTTTTTGTATTTCCTCAGTTTCTAGAGATCCTTTACTACCAAGTTTATATACCTTTCTATTAAAATAAAACATAACCTAACTTTATGTAACAACCATAAATGGCCCTGAAGTTAGTTTTTTGAGAAGTAAAAATCAACTTATACTAACTATCCAACAGTTTTGTAAGAGATGTAGTGTCGAGCAAAACAATCAGAGCCAAATTTTGTACCAGGGCACAGGGAGGAAAAGCCGAGACTTGGACGCACAAGAGAAAACCTCGAGCTTGTCTAGCCAAGGCAGCCACACCTGCAGTCTATGAATGGGTTATCGTCATCATTTTGTTTTGCACTCGACAAACATTCAATAATAGTGGTACAAGTTGCGTGGTATTTTGAGGTTATACGTATTTGTTTATGATCACAAACTATACAAAGCATATTTTAAGAAATAATACTGACTGGAATTGTCTACAAACATATTTTGACAAAATAAATATTACCTGAACTTCGTCGTCTTTGCGGATAGGCATGGATTTCACGTTGAATTTTTGTCTTAATTCCTTTGAGAGAGGAGACGACATAAGTACTCGTCTGATGTGTGAAGGCGCGCTAAAATGCCTTTTCCTGTTCTTCCTCCTCGAGGAGGTTACTTGCTTGTTATACTTCATCCTGCCACTTGCTGCTGAAAAGCAAAATACCACGTTTTATTTCACTGACTCAAAACATTAGGTTACTAGTCCTTGCGTACGAAACGTCAAGTTGCCGCTTAGTTTATTTTGAACACTGATATTTAATTCTTGTAAAATAGCCATGGCCTTTAACAAATAATGTATTAAAGAACAAATTTTATGTGATTTCAACAATTTTGTAACAACGTAACCGAGGATTTATGAAGATTTAACGTACCCGACACAACACGGCAAAGAATCAAGTTAAGAAAGGCTCATAGATTAGAAACGAAAATGGACGAGAGAGAATATTGCCAGTTCAAAAAAACAAAATTAGCGTTTTTCAAGACACTTTTTATTTTGTAAAGTAACAAATGAAATTGATTTTTACATAGTTTTATAATTACAACATTTTCCGGTCGAATAAAAACCGAATTATGGCAAAAGTGTTTTACGTTAATAGCAGTTAATACTTTAAATTAAGTTTATACGAGGTAGGAGTAAGAACTGTCAAAGATTAGTTAACTCAGCCTATAATTTATATTTCGTAATTTTTAGTTTTCATTAAAATGATTAAAATACCATTGAAAAATTTTAATGATTAGATTTAAACAATACAATCACACTCCTTACTTAAATAAACAAAGATGTGCCTCAGTTTAACGTCTTTATAGTGACTTTTTTAAATATACATTTCAGGTGTTATATCATTTACTTGTTTAACGAGCTGATTACTTTAAATATTTTTGATATTTGCTGATTAAGCTAAGTATCACTTGAACTTGAAACATATAAAGGCGTCGGCTAGAGGGGGCGGGGGTAAATTCTATGAACAAAGGCGTTTTTAGTAAAATATATTTTATGTTTTGTTCCTCAGAGAATGCTTATCTGTATTCAGATTTTTGGTCGGAGTAGAATATTAAACATGATACTATTTTTGTTGCGGTTTCAACTCGCAAATAGGTAACTCGGAGACACCGGTAATTCTATAACAAGTATCGCCGCAACAATATCCGTATTGAATTGAGATCATGATGCTCCGAAGTGGCAATAGTCCCGAGTCCGAAGTGGAAGTAGTTTTTTACAGTTCACGAAGCATTTTCAAAGTTACCTAATGCATTATTATATGTACACGTAATATATATCATTATTAATCTATCATATTTCGTACTAGTAATACATGCGTGTTCTTTTTAAATAGCAAGTGGCCAACAGTACATAGCAACCACTGCAAATAGGTATCCGGGGCCTCGCCTTCTCTACCTTTAATCGACGAAGGAGGATATTTCTTTTTAATGCGTCCGTACCTCTGCTAAATCCACTTATTCCTTCCTATAATGTCTTTGTAATTGGAGGGGAGGAAAAGTGAACTATGTACATTTAGGCCTGCATGCACATTCGCCAGATGAAACGCAGAATTGAATTCTCCTCACTCTTATCTTCCGCATGGTCGTGGTAATGCACGGCCCATATATGCAAAATATGTTATTGCGAGATTCACTACTATTAAAATATTCAATAAAATACAAAGTAACAAAAGATCTACAATACAAATAGACAAAAGTGGAATGACTTTAATTCTACAAATTCTAGAACGTAGGCGTCTATTAAAAGCATTTGACCACGTTTGACTAACACCCACTGCCATCAGGGGACGTTGTGGGCAGAGACAGAATTTCCATTTTGTATCACCTCTATATATTTATTCATCGTTTTACCTGAATACATAATTAATACATGCGTGTCGCTTGTCTTTAAGAACGCTTGACTTAGTGTTTTCTTCGTCATCGTTAAAAATACATTTTATAATTCAGTAACGTTCAGATACTGGTTGAATATAAAGAAAATTCAAATGACAAATGTTTTTTTTTTATATCACCTATTTGTACTTTCATTGATGAAATATGTAGTGCTAATGTAACTTTGTACTTGGTAAAATCATCACCTATTCTGTTGAAAATAGTGTACACCCAAAATATACATCAACAGTAATTTTCATCGTAGCAGCTAATACGAATAGCTTTCTACATGAGGTATGAGGTAAGGCGCGTCCGGTCAATGACTTGCCTGCGTAGAGGCTACGAAATTGCTTAGCAATGACTTCAACCCTTTGTAGAGTATAACTCGCTATCACCACAGATTAAATAATTTGTGTATAAAATGTTTTAATCAAAGTCAAGAAACGACGTATGATAAAATGATTCTGAATAATAAAATATTGAAATGTAAGCGAATAAAGTATATTTCGTAATCTAAGTATTGTTGCGTTACACTAAAAAGTTGTACGCAAATT